TAACAGATTCTAAACTGACTTATCTGGACAAAATTTTCCCTATTACGGAATGTAGACCGTTCCATCGTTTTTTTCTTCTTCTTTCTTTCTTTCTTTCTTTCTTTCTTTTTATATATATACATCGATCTCTTTCTCACGATCGAGGGAAATATTCCCGAAGGAAGAATGTTCTAATCAGGTCAATCCATACGACCATAGGGCCACTAGCCAATCACAACACTCCATTTGCACTAGAACCAAATCTATGGGCGGAGCTTGAAGGAGATTTGAGGTTGACGTTTCCTTCAAAAACATGTCTTCGCCTGTGATTGGAGCGTAGAAGCTTAGTGGGCGGGGCTTCGCGGTATATGGCTTTTCGGTCGGCAACAGGCCTACTCTGGGAAGCCAAGATGTAGTACTCTTGGCGTGATAAAAGTCAGTATTCTGTATGATGTTGATGCTGTTTTGGGTAAGTGATGTATGTCGTTGTAACGGTGATAATACGGTGATTGGAGTTACTATATGGGATCCTTGAACTTGGCTGCGATGGAATGGCATTGATAGTGACATAATGCGTGGATAAATTACGCCACCGTCACCGAAATTATATATATGTATATATATATATATATATATATATATATATATATATGTATGTATGTATGTGTGTGTGTGTGTGTGTGTGTATGGTATACATATGTATATATATGTATATANCAGACAGAACGGAGAATTGGTCCCGCTTACTACCGCCACAAACAATCCACTAACCGAGCAGCGCGAGCCCCCCGCCCTCCCCCACATATTCCCCCAAACCATCCCGACACGTAGCTCCCCCCCTTCCCTCGGGCACCCGCGAAACCATCCACCGTAGCTTCCCCCCCTTCCCTCCCCAACCATCCCACCACAAGGCCCCCCCCTTCCCTCTATTCCCCCAGCCAGTACCACCGGGTAGCTACCCCCCTTCCGTCCCCAACCAGTCCAACCACAGCCCCCCCCCTTACCCTTTTTTTCCCCCATTTTATTTTTAAAAGTTTCCCCCCCCCAGCCAGATCCAGCTACGTAGCTCCCCCGGCGATTCCCTCCCCGCCCCACCCCACCCCACCTCCCCGCCCCCAGGAGGCCCCACGCCCGAGCCTCCCCGGCCCCGACGCCGCACCACGCGCGCCGCCCAACCCCTCAGCGGCGCGGGAAGAAAATGCGTCACGAGCCTGATTCCCGGTGATCGCGAGTGGCGGCCGGCGGCGGCGAGCCGTCGTTCTCGTGACTTCGGAGCAAACTCTCGAGAACGCCGCCCGCCTCCTCCGGGGACTTGTTGGTGTTTACCCGTTTTGTTTATCTTATTTTATCTTATTTTTCATCATCTTCTACTTCTTCTTCTCTTCCTCCTTTATCTCCACCTTTCTTCTTCTCTTTCTCTTCCTCCTCCTCCTCCCGGAACTGTCTTCTATCTTCTCCTCTTCCTCCACCTCCTTCTCCTCTTCCTCCACCTCTTTGGCCCTCACTTGTGCCTCCCCTGCGCTTTCTCCTGCTTCTCACCTCCGTCTAATCTTCCTCCACCTCCTTCGTCCGTCTTCTCCTCACCTCCTTCTCCTCTTCCTCCACCTCCTCTCCCCTTCCTCCACCTCCTCCCCTTCCTCCTCCCCTCCTCCTCAACTGGGGGAGAGAGAGAGAGAAATTAGAGAGAGAAATATAAGAGAGAGGAGAGAATTAGAGATAGAGATGGTTTGGTTGTTTAGGAGAGAGATAAGATGCGTTTGGTTAGAGAGAGAGAGAGGAGTTAGGAGGAGAGAGAGAGAAATAATAGAGAAAGGAGATAGAGAGAAAAGAGATAGAAAGGAAAGGATAGAGAGCAAAGAGATTAGAAAGGGATAGAGAGAGAGAGTTGAGAAAGGAATAGAAGGAGAAAAGAAGATAGAAAGGGATAGAGAGAAAGAGATAGAAAGGGATAGAGAGAGGAAAGAGCATAGGAAAGGGCATTAAGAGGAGAGAAGAGAGGAGAGGGAGAGAGAGAGAGAAAGAGAGGATAGAAAGGGATATATAGTATATATATATATATATAATTATATATAGTAGTATAGTAATATATATATAAGAGAGAGGAAGAGAGAGAGAGAGAGAGAGAGAGAGAGAGAGAGAGAGAGAGAGAGAGAGAAGGAGAGAGAGAGAGAGAGAGAGAGAGAGAGAGAAAGGGATAGATAGAGAGGAGAGAGAGAGAGAGAGAGACGAGAGAAAGAGAGAGAAGAGAGAGAGGAGATGATAGAAAGGATAGAGAGAGAGAAAGAGGGAGGAGTGGTAGAGAGAAGAAGGGAATTAGAGAGAGAGAAAGAGAGAGAGGATTAGAGAAGAGAGAGAGAGGAGGAGAGAGGATGGATTCGAGAGAGAGAGAGAGAGAGAGGATTCGAGAGAGGAGAGAGAGAGACGAGGATAGAGAGAGGAAAGAAGAGAAGAGAGATTAAGAGAGAGAGAGAGAGAGAGAGGAATTAGAAGAGAGAGAGAAGGGAGGAGAAAGAGGGAGGAC